GCTTGAAGAGCCGATTTCTATCATCAGCGTGTCGTGACCAACGCAGTTGTTCACTACTACAACCGACTCACTCTCCTCCGAGCTAACGAGCGTCTTTAGCATCGCTGCGTGCTTCTCTTCTGCCAACCACGATACTATCTGGTCGACGTGCGTGCGAGGAACGCAATTTCCGAATTCGTGGCGAAACAAATACCATTCAACGGATAAGCCGGCAAAGATAGAAAGGGCGCAGCGTGCAGCCAAACCTTTGAAAAAAGGAAATTGCCTACTTTCTAAATAGATGTCGTCCATTTAGCGGAAATTACGCGGCGAGCGTAGCAGTCGTATAACGTTGTTGCGGAATCGGAGCAATTTGAACGACAACCGATTACAAGAGGCACGCGAACCGCTTTACCGAACCGATAGACGTGCGCGCTTCACACGGCAGCCTCCTCGTATATCCCGAGACACCTTTTCGACGAATCTGACTAGCGTTGCGGTTCGATCGTTGTCCACCTACCGATTCTCCTATTGTACGAGAAACTACCGGAATCCCGTATCGATGTCCACGTCGGCCAAATGTTCTCGAGAAACCTGTCATTTCCCGCCACAAGCATAACCGCCGACATAATAGTCGCTGATCAAAAGATGGCCGCGAACACAATGGCCGCGAATTCCCGCGGGCACGGCCTGTTCTTTTTGAACCGCTTTAGCGGCCAACCTAAGGGCATCGGTTCTTCCCACTAAACGTTGACACGCGATTCCTCGCCGATACCAGCGCGTCGTGTCAGTCATCATCACGGCGCATTAAACACCATTTGCCTGCCCCCGATTCCAGTCGATCCTTTTGTCCTCTACTTTTTTGTCTGGATAAATATACCCTTTGAACTCCGTCAATTTCGCAAACCGGTTCTCCTACCCCTGTTCTCCTTTCAGCGCGTGACTTTTCAAACGATCTACGGACGCTTTCCTAACGTCACTTACGAAACCGCTAAACGAGTATTATCATCCTCCACCGCACCCTTCTCTAAAAACGACAAATCGTCGCTCCGTTTCTGGTAAACTTCTCGACGTATATACTGCCGCCCAAAAGTACTTCTTTAATTTTTATATTTATTAAATAATTATCACGCGAGCGACAGAACTGTAGCTCTGTAGTACTTAACGAGCGGTTGTCCATCCAAGTGAGTATTGACGCTACGATGAAAGAAACAAACGATTTTGAGAATATTCCGTTTGAAGTATTCTCTCTAAAAGTGTGTTGTTAATCTCGTATTGTGAAAGGAAAAAGTATCCACACACGAAATACAAAATAACGATGTGTATGTATACACTCATATACTTTAACAGTTAACGAGACTTATTATTAAATTGCATTCAGATTCTGCAACTTTGCTACAAAAACACGTTAGAAATTAAGTACGATCCTAATTCAATAAGCCAGAGCCTTTATATATTCTCTTCTGCTTCCGCCAAACATTTTATCATCTTGCCAGCGACTTTGAATTCGTATCAAAGCACCATTGTTTATCCTACAAACACGGGAATGTAAACGCGGACGGCGAAGTGGTACGGCACGTCAGTCAGTCAGTCAGTCAGTCAGTCAGTCAGTCAACGAGCGAGTCCTTTCTGTTAGGCAGGGTGCATGCGTAATAAGGTAGTCGCGCCATATCTCTCGCTTTTTCCCTGTCCCTCTCTTCGGTTCGCTTCGTCTTCGGGATCCCTCCTACGATCCCTCGATACCACCCTGCCTCGTGCAGCGTACGAAGGAAGGCGGTGTGACCGGCCGGGCCAATTTGGCCGCTCCTTTCTACCGCCTCGACGAAATCCTCGCGCAAATACGCTGCCAGCCGCTCGCAACTGTTCAGGCTTATACGTGGGTAAACAGCCATTCCGATTGCAAATTAGATTCGAATTCGATACGACGCGATTCAAGTTATAGGGTGACTCGAGAGCTTCCGTTTTACCGGAGTTTCCGACAAGAAAATTAATCTCTGACCAGCGGAGATCGATGTCTGAGATGGGTGAAACGTAAATTTCCTGTTTAACGCTAGAACTAGTAGCAATTAAGATATAAATTTGTATTAGAAAAAGAGCGAGGCAGATCGTATCGGTTCGAGCCACGGCGAAATACTTTCTTCTTCAACTATGGAATATACACATTTTTTTTCAAACATATGTTTTTCTTCTCTAGAGATAACAATTATATCAATTATCATTATTGCAAATTTATTATTGTTAGTAAGGATGGACTGAATGGAGTGAATATACGTGAGATTGACTTAAGAAAGAAGATGTAGAAAGTTTAATATGAGAATAATTTACGAAATATTATATTCTTTATCATGTTACATGATAATAATCTACATCTACATTTGTTGCTCTTATTAAATATAATTTTGTTTTTTAAAAATATGGTCTATCTTCTTACTACTTGTTTACTAAACCTTTTAACCTTTTTTGAAAGAGAAAATTATCCAAATCTCCAAAAATTTACAAAATTTCCGTAAAAGAAGTTATGAATTGCTCACTTTGACTTTGGTGGTCTAGCGTTAAAAGCAAAGAGAAAAGTACCTATTCAGAAAAGAGGACTTTTGTTCTATTTTGGCTGCAAGAAACATTTCACCAGACATCCATTCGACGAATTACCTTTCCTCTCGTCGTCCCGTAGTTTTGTTTGCTGGCAATACCGAAGAATCACGCCGGGGTTGCTTGTGCAAACAGAAAAAGGTAAACGGCAAACTGTCGAGGGATGTGACGAGTTGTAAGAAACACGATTGAGAATATATATCTACCGTATTTCTCTAAAACTTCTCTAAAAGGATCATCAGCCGAAAAACCAATAATTTTTCTTTCAACCAACTTATTCTTCTCATTTTTCTTTTCAATAATTTTTCAGTCAACCAACTTATCGTTAAACCAACCACACCCATCCGATCTTTCGATTTTCCTGACCAACTTATCGTTCGTCAGAAAAATACTACATGAAAATATCCCAAGGATCGGACGGTAATCTATGTTACCTATACGGGAACGAATCGTGAGAAATAAAGATCGAGAGACGTAAAAGGGAAGCTCGTAATCGTTTCGGAGGCTTTTACTGCGGAGAGTTTTCCTGATGACAGAAAACATTATGTACACGTGCACGCAGCTGAATGCACGCCACTTCCAAATGTTGCTTCGAATCGCGAAATTAAGTCGACCATTGTGGTCGAGCCTGGGCTCGTGCTGCACGACACGTCGGAGGATCGATTAGAGCCCCGTCGAATCAGAAACCGGGGATTTCCTACCGGTTGACCGGTCGTTATCTCGAATTGGTAATTGAAAGAACGTTTCTTTTTTCGTTTCATCCGTGTTTCACCGTCGGAAGTACTTTCGATTTACCTCGTATGTATCACGAATGACGGATACGTACGTCGAGTAGCGATGCAGTGTTCGTCGATCAAATATAGAATGTAACGAACGTAACGAACCGGGTATTAAGCGTTATCGCGGTCGCTTGCATTCCGCGTGATCTCGATTATAATTGTTTACGATCGCCACTAAACTATCGATGCGCAACAACATCGCGGATGGCATTAATTTATTATCTCGACGCGGCGCTTTAAAACACGAAATTTTCATCCGTGTGTCGAAATATTTCTTTAAACGAATTTGAAATTCTATTTACCAAATCGATATCTTCGCTTGCCAGAGAACCATCCTTCGTCGTCGTCCATGTTTTTCGCTGGTCGTTAACTATCAATTTTTCAGCTCTACACGAGATACATCCCTTCGATCATTCGAGACCGTGCTGCCATCTAGAAACGCATCTTCGAAGCGAGCGATTCGTTCAAGAGGGATGATAAGACGCGATCGCTTACCCTTTCGAAGCAGATAAGTGAGAAATCAAATAAGTGACACAAGTACAAAGTAAGAATTTGTCGCGAATTTGGCGACAAATAATTAGAGATCGCGATTTCGAACGTGTATTGTATCCTTAATACACGTTTACACGTAGCACGTGAATGAAATTAAGGATTCATGCTCACCTTATGTAATTGATACTGATTTGTTAGTTTATATCGCATCATGGACCTTTAAAAAACGAGATTTCTTATAAGCGTCAGAGACGTGCGTGTGAGGAAACTTTTGTCTGGACGAAGCCAAATTCTTGTTTTCCTACATGCATGATTTTCAAACGTTGCACAAACGACCGTTGCGACCTACTGCATCGCTACTTACAAATGCTTCCGATGCGCAGATGTGTGCTTCTAGTGCGCACGTATCTAATGCGCATGCACGTGATATTTGTAGGAAATTCAATTTTCATACAGAACTTTGTCACCCAAGATGCGATTCTTGAATTCAAACATTTCAATTTCGCAATTTCATAATTAACTTACTTTTCAATTCGTGTTTTTCTATCATCGGACGTGTTGTTAATCATCATTTAATATTTCTAGTTTTCAAACAAGCGTTATAGCATATAACAAGCATTTGTCCAAAGGCTTTTTCAATACACGTGAAATAGGGACCTCCACAAACAATGAAACTGGCCATAATCCAATGGCTGTAGAAAATTGGCAAACCGTGAAAACCGGAGAAGCAAAGAGAAATTTTGTAAAAGGTCGGTCGTATCTTTGGCCACCACTTCTGCTATCGAATAATATTTCACGATATCTTCTCGTATTCTTGTAGGTTTGCAAGACCCCCTGTCGCCTGTTAGCTACACGAAAACACATACGTCACTGACGCGCAAGGTTCGTGGCGATTCTGATGGATCCTGGGATTCGATGGGAACAAAAGAATGTTGGTTTAGCATGGAAGGCGTGTTTGTTATTCTGATGAGGTATAATGGGATGGATCTTGGGTGTTGATGCATGGCGCGTAGCAGGGTGCCAAGTCCAGAATCCCGTGGATCCAAATGGAGATCGGTACGGGCCCCGTAGGCTTCTTCGAGACCCCTGTAGACAGGGGCCGCAACACGTCCATCACGTGTCACGGTTATGTATTTAGACATATCTCACTACTATCTTACATATCGTTCCTGCCCTCTTCTTCTTTTCCTCTCTTCCTCTCTTCCTTTCTCTCTTCACTCCGTGACTCACCTTCCGTCGGCATCTTCGCGACTCTCCAGCCACCCCCTTGGCTCTCTTCGACTCCAACGTTTTCGTTTACCATTTTTCTTCCCCCGTCTACGATCCTCGTATTCGTCTTCACTTGCTACCAGCTTATCGCTGCGTTCTCTTCCCCTTCATCCCACCAAAACTACAATCCGTTATGAAGATACTACCTAATTTCTATGCTGTTCCAATTCACGAATAAATAAGTTCGACAGTGAGTAAATTCAAGATATACGATAGATACACGCTTCGTTTCGATAAATGATAATAAATTAACGTCCGTCATCGATCCCTATCCCCTCTTCAATTCCAATCGATCGATTAGAATCAACGTTCGATGAAATCTGCCAATCGATTTAGTCGATTAGATAGTTCCTTTTCCAGCAACACAGTCGGAACTCGACTTTCTTCGGCGGGCTGGCTCGCTATCAGGTTCATTCATCGTCCATAATATTTCAACGTTAATTTCCTAGATGGTGATACATGACTCGCGTCAGTGTCGTGCGTGCGCTCATCATCATCGGGATCGTTCCTCTTGTTCCTCTCTCACCCTCGTCCGATTTCTTTCTCGTCTTCTTCTCCTCCCTCGTCCTCTTTCACATCTCGTCCCGTCTGGTATTCCGAATAATCACATGCACGACACAACGGACTCTTTCAATTGCCGCTCGTTAATATTGCCTGCCGCGTATGGTCGGTAGTCACTGGCTATCCACGCTGCTCAGGTAGTTCTCTGTCGATTGAATTTTTTATTGGCCCAACGTAGAAGCCTGTTCCGAACCGGTATTCCATTCGTCCTACCGCTTCTTCGTTTCTGACGTTTCTAAACTAGAGATCCTTACTTCACGTGTAAACACACATGTATACGTGTGATGAGTGAATCTGGATATCAGTCTGTGTAATTTTTAATAGACGGATATAACTGCGTATTCCTCTATGTTTAAATATACATTCAAACATTTTGAAACAATTACTTCATACGATGTATTAATAATCGTATTATGAAATACACGTGTAATTTAAAAGTTTCTACAGATACAATGGAGAAGAATGTTCAATGATGGGAAACGTGCTTCATCCAATCAAAAAATTTCTAATGCAAATATCGGCTCGTGATGTAAACTAGCAAATATCTCGATTAAATGAATGAATATCTTCAATTCCTTAATTCACGATCCGTGTACCATATTGCACACGTGTATTAAAAACATGGATCCTTAATTAAGGATCCTTAATACACATTTTCAATACCACATGCACATGTGTATTTTAGTAAACATTCAAGATCGTAATTTCAGCTGTGAACGTTTTCGATATCGATGGCACGAAAGAAAAAAGGGTATCGTGCAACGAGATTGTTCGACACTATGTCTTATCGATATTCGGTATTCAGTATATGCGAGACAAGCGATTTTCAAACATTTATTTCCTGTACAAAACAACGAGAGTATACTTACTTAGACCTGTGAACGTAATAGCTTACGTTTTACGTTATCGATTTCCGTTTCCTAAGCGGCAGTTATTCGCCGTTCGTGACGGCATTCACCATAAAATTGATGAAACCGTCAACATCCTCGAGCTCTTCCGAGTAAAATTTCGCAGCAATTGTGGCGCGTCCTTCGTATATCGGTATCATGGAGAAGGAACATTTTGCGTATGCATCCACCTCCACCGGTTCTGACAGTTTCAATTTCAACTGCTCCTCTAGCCCTGGCCCTTCGATCAGGAATCTACACTTCCTCAATGAGATGGGCAATGGATTTTTAAATTTCGCCGTCGCGTACAGCGTCTTGCCAACTTCCGGTTCACTCTCCACCTAGGCAAACAATTATCACGTAACATTTATTCGGGTTCCGTTTTCATCGCTTTCGGTTGTGTATCATAAAATATAGAGTAAACGCAAAGAGTACGTACTATGATCTTAATGTCAGGTTTTCTCACACGAAAGTCGTCTTGCGCGAAATATTCGAAATTGGTGTCCTTAACAGTGGCCAGGCAGGCAACAGTGAACGCGCATTGATTCAATAGTCGAGGTCCGTATTCCTCCCAAGACACTTCCATACGCGCTTCCTCGACAACTCCCGGTCTCACCAATCGATCGATATTTAATCTTTTCACTGGGTTGCCGACCCGTCCGGTGTACAGAACTGTTTCTGCTCTTAAGATCACCGAGACTTGATATTCACTGTGATTGCTTTTATTTTTAATCATCAACACGACACTGCAACGAGAGATGCGTCTTGTAAATATATGAAAAAACAATTGGAAATGTGGAATCATTCATACGTAACGAAATGAAATAAATGAAAGAATTACTTACCTGAAAGGTTGTCCGATAATGATATCGTCGCGTAGCTCGAAGACGAACGTAATTTCGTTAAACTCTTCGTTGAGGTAGTAACGGCTGAACAGTGATTGACTTTGACGTAACGCCTTTAACATGGTAGCCCGTTCTTCCTTCGATTCTGCGGAAACAACGCGCCACGTGTTAAGATTTTGACAGAAATTGAGAATTTATTATGAAAGATATCTTACTTTCTGGATACTTGTAAGTGTGAGTTATATCTTCTCTCGCCCATCTACCAATCGCTTTCGTGCTAATAAATTGTCCAATGCTAAGTATTAAAAAAGAGAAAACGAATATAGATTAAATCGCTTTGCCGAAATCAAGAAAGAATCAATCACAAAGGAAAGAATATAAAAATTACATATAAGTGGAATACTAGAAATAGAATCGAATATCTCACAAATAGGTTGGAATATTTTAAGACTTTAGGGATTTCCTATAAGCGGTTTTGGTGTGTGTCAGATATTTTCGACTGAACCAAACATGTTCCTGCTTTTTTCTTTATACGCGATTTAATTCAAAAAATACTCGAACGTTACAGGTAAACGATTTTTAGTGTGAGATTTTCTCGATTCTTCGATGTTCGTGAATACACTGCAAATCCATTACATTTTCGAGTAGTATTCAAAGCATCCATGAAATGAAACTCAGATATCGGATTTAACTCGGGTTCGTAAGTACATGCTGAACTTGATTGACCATCCCTATGAAACACTCGCCTGTATACATCTTTTTGAATCAACTTTAAAGGTTGAATCGGCCCGTTGTAACGCCAGAATACTTTGTCCGCGTTCACCTCGGCGAAAAGGAAAGCATTGTCGTAAGGTCGCAGAACTTCGCCTTTCTTGACAGCAGCGACAGAAGCTGGCCCGCAACGATACGCGTCTTCGCTCAATTCTTGAGGAGTCGCATCTATCACTTGCCAACCAGAATATTCCGGCGACAAATCCAAACGAGTCATCCATACCTCGTTCCACACATGGAAATTCCTACGGATTGCCATGAAAAATGATTGATGACCAAATGGTGTATATACTTATACGATCGATCCGATTACAAGTAAGTAGACAAAATACTTACCATATCGAATCGCTGGTCATCTCGTCCATAATTCTGCCTTCGGTATCGACGAAATAATCGACGGTCAAACTGCTTTGAGTATCGTGCGCGCTCGAGTAATTGGTTACATTTCGACAGGGTAGTCCCAGGGTGCGACAAACAGTAGTCAACACTCCTGAGAATACCCAGCATTGGCCATACTTAACCGGTCTTTTCGTCTTGTAGTATAGTTGAAGGATTTTTTGCGAACCCAACCATTTGGTTGGTGGTGTACCACCCGCAAAATCGTTTGACCAATTACCCATCACCGCACCGTTATCATCCGACGAATTTACCTGTAACGCAGCAACTTTTGTTTATCAAGCCCAGAGATAACGAATGGGAATGAAAGAAAAAAAAAAAAAAAAGAAAGAAAAAGAAACAACGGAGTGGAATCGAGATATTTACAGCCGCGGACAAAATGCGAGATATGACGACAGGATCATTTCTACCGGAGACTCGAACTTTCCCAACTTGAATCATCAAATGCAGAGCGCAGTCTAATATATCACGCTCAAACTGCGAATATTTCCAGACTGTTGGTCTCATACGATTGTAACTTCCGCGCCATATCAAACCATCCTCCGCCATTACGTACTCCTGTCGCTTATATTCTTTTTCCATGTACACCGCGTCCTCTGAAATATTCCCAAAAAGTCCCAGTGTTCGCGCACTAGATTGTAATTGTATTATATTCTATATGTAATTGTATTATATACAAACGAAGGACGAGTTCCCATCAAAAGGCATGTCTGTCTCACCGTGAATGAAACGCTGCCACTCAACAATGAAGTAATACATATGTATAGATATTATTTTTATTATATAAATCAATCCAGACGATTTGTGGTAATTTAGGTGCAATGTTTTTTGGATATAAAAACCAAAAAAAAAAAAAAAATCGACGACATAATAAATTCAAGAAAAATTGGACGTGTAAACTTGACGACGAATTTCCCGCAAAATGCTCATTCTCTTGAAATCTTTTATCAAGATACAATTTTCCTACCTTTGCACCAAGCATTAAAGATCAAATAAAACGGTTGTTTCATTGTGTAACTAACGGCTCCATCCAAATTTCTATTTTTAGTATCGATCTCCATCTTCCATTTGCCTATTATCGCGTCGGGAGCTGTCACGATCTGGAAAAAACGAGAAAAAGAAAGAAAGCAACTCGTGTCACGATCGCATGGATCGAAATTGTATGAAAGGCGGTCCCATCTTCGATTACTTACCTTCAATCGAATAAAATTGGGTTGAATGGCGTCAATAGTAGCTTGCCAGGAACCCTCGGATGATTCTCCCGGGTAAAGAACGGGTATCGCGACGAGAGTTCCGTGGCCATATTGCGGCCTCTCAACTCCATCAACCGTGAAAACTATCGACATACCATCGATTCCTTGCTCATAATCTCTGGACAAAGTTAAATGCAAGTAAAATTCCTGCCCCCGTCTGACGACGAGTCTAGATTTATCATCCTGTCTGGTCATCAAGTCGTATCTCGACGTCCTATGATTTTCTCCATTTTCCGCGATACACGGATCCACGTCTATAATCGTCAAGACCGGCACACCAAAGCCTTCCCCTGCGAGCAGAATACATGCACAAAATTTTGTATTAATTCGATTTCATTCGTGTATGACAATGTATATTTCCAATGTGAACGCTTTACATATAAAAGCGATGTTTCTCACTGGTTTGTCTAAATATTCTAAAATGTTTAATTAAAGTTGGCGGATTACCAACTACGATTAAATTAGATCGAATGAGTAAAATTTTCTATGTCCCTTTACTTATTTACGAGATTTTAAGAAGAGTTAATGTCGCACGTAGAAAGACCAATAATTTACAACGAGACGGCGATGAACGCGGAGCACTCACAGTACAATCTGAAGGGGAAAGGCCTCAGGCGGCGATCGTTGAAAAGCCGGTAACGATCGTAAAATCTATAAAACATCCTTCAAGGATTCGGTAGTGCAAACTCGTCCCTCGATATTGAACAAAAGACTGAATCCGAAAGGCGAGAATCCGTGCCGCGGTCTTTCGCTTACCAAGAGTTCTATGAAATCACTGAGAGCGAGTAATCGCTCCCCCGTTCCGGAAATAAGGAAGAGATCACGCGGCGACGCAACGAATTATGCGCGTTGGGTGGGTTGCTGCGTTCTAGGAGATCCCTCAAGGACTTTCTGCATCGTTAAACGTAGCCATACATGGCGTCATCGATAACTCTAAGTACCAGTAGGAGTCACCTACTTTTCATCTTGTCAATTACTTTCCGTAATTTATTCTCGCAGTTGCAAAGCGAATTGTGTATTTGATAATCGGACGCGGGCGTATTCCAGGAAAGTGCTGATCGAAGATCGCTAACGACGATCTTTATACGGACGAGCTTGATCGAGTTGCGCGTGGAAAGTCGCGAAAGAAGTCTAAAGATGCGTACACATTTATTATTCGATCTCGCTCCATTACCTATGATCTATTTACCTATGCATTCTTATATTACTCTGTAACGTCGAAAAAAATGACCTGCTTCAAAGTTTCGAACTGAAACACACGTGGTGCAAATGAAACGTGTATTAAAAAATCCGTGTCCATAGATTCATGACGTATAGTCATATTTGCATTTTTTTTTCATGGATATATTTGCTAGTTTACATCACATCCTGTGGCTCTAAGCGTCTGAATATGTGCATTAGAGCATTTTTCACTAGACAAAGAATGTGTTTCTCTATATCCGCTAATTAACCTTTTTTTAAATATTCCGTTGCGTTAGGCGCGTCCATCAGATCAGTACAGTACGCATGCGTTAGGTACGCACATATCTAATATACACACGTCTGATGCGCATAAGTATAACACGTGTGTGTCTAACACGAATGTGTGACAGCATTTTATTTTCCAAGATATTCTATTTTCTATCGTCAATTTTATTGAACACGAACTGCAACTTAATCTGATAATTAACGAAGAAAATAATACTGAAGGACGATTTTTAATATAATAAATGAAATAATGAATGTAACAGTAACAATATTAGGTAACAAGTGTGCACGCAGCCTAAATTGTATATTCCAGTCGATTGACGAGACCAATGAAAAACTATAAATCGTGGAAAGAATCATTACATCGGTACTGACACGATTACCAGCTTTGGAGGGCAATGATTATTTCGTTTCAATTCAACAAGAATCGTGCAATTACGAGACACGATCGATACGATTAATTGGTACCAATTTCTCGGATGCTTTCATCACAACTCGATTCGCAAAAGCCGCCGATCGTTTAAAATGCAAACCTTGACAAAGAAACTCGCGATTGTATGGCGATTAATTGCCATGTCGCAAACGACAACTTGCTCACATTGACCGTCACCTATTTTCTTTGTTAACGATTCATTTCTTCTCGAACAGAGCGAAAACATCACAACATTTTACAAAGCAAATACTACGTATAGGCACGGACCTTCGTACGACCACTAATTTGCTTCGAATGATTAATTTTTCAGAATATATTATCCTTCGGATGAGTTTCGCAACTCATAAAAAGTAACGGTGTGCACGGAACCAATGTAACGCACCTACTAGATGTAGGCGCATCAAAAAACTAAACAAATATATACTGAAATAACACGCGAAAAGAATCTTTTTCATTTTACTTTTCACTTCCTCTTCTTGTGAAGGGAGAATTTGTTTCTCTTTTGTTTCGTTAGCTCCATCGATATTTCATAAGTCTTATTATATTCGTTCTTTTTCACGATCTTTCCGCTTTTACACTAATTTATTTCTTGCTCCTTTTTTTTTTTTTTTTAGATATTATTTGCTTTTTCATATTTTTAGTTTCTTACTCTTTAATTCTTCTGGTGAACAATTCCGAAATCTCGAAATTCCGTTTCATCCAATCACTTGCAATCGCTATCACTGTAATAAAAGTAATATAGCAAAGGCGAAAAATCATAAGCTGTCTATAAGCGGAAAAACGCATTAGGAAAAAATCACAAACAGTGGCGGACTTTATTAACCAGTAGCGTTTAATCTTTCATTGCATACTAATGATCGGAATGTTTGATAATCGAAAATTTCTTGTCCTTGTACCCAGCCAATGTAATAATATACGATATAATATCGCTACGTACGATTGCATTAGTTCAATTAAAAATGTGTATCTATATATTGATTGATCGTGTATTATACATAATAATCCGACATATGGACAACTGATCGCGTAATAAATAACATGTCAAACGATCAAATTACACAAAGTATCCCCACATAGTGCAGCCGTCATAGGATTACTTCAACCGGTTTCGTACGAAACCGATGCTATTTTGGTGAGTTGGTAAGCATCAAGAAGTTACGGCCTATATACATACCTAATGATATTGTTTTCGATTAAAAATAACGGCACAAACTATACAGTCAACTGTACACAAGTATATACAAGTGTCCTAGAATGCAAATTATTCATAGCAACTGCTGTTGACGCGCGATGTCGCGCATTTAATGTAAAGTAAAAATAGAAATACCTTTTTTTTTTTAGTTAGTACTATGGTATCTAAGCTTACCATAATCGAATTTCCATAATTTTTGATAAAAAATTGATTTAATTACTGTAGATTGAACGAAAGCCAGATACGAATAATAGTCAGATTCTCTCCGCCGACACAACCAGGAAATTCTGTTAGCGCCAGGGGAAATGAAATTGCAACTACAGTTATTCACGAAGATATTGAACACTTGTTGAAAAAATTTATGACTATATTATGTGTGTCATATAAAACATTTTGATATTTCATTGACATTGTAATGAGAACCGATTATCGTGATTACGAGGGGTCATCAGGTTTGAGACAAATCTAAAAATATATAATAAAATTGCGAAAATTTAAATTTTAATTAAAATTTAATGCAGATAAATATATAAAGATTATAAAAGTATTTAAACAATCCATTGTGCCTCAATATTTAGTAGAATCATCTTTAACACTGGTTGTTAACACATATATTAATTTTTTACTAAATATGTCTGAAATATCTTTTAACTTCTGTATATATTTTCAGAATGATTTTAGATTTCCCCAATATGATCATAATACTCGTCTCTCGTTACAACATTGATGAACGCAACGTATAAAAACTGTGTACAATGGGAAAAATAATTGCATAGCAGATTTGAAATGATAGATCTACTTATAAAAACAATTTTTTAACGTTTTCAGAAATCTTTGAATTTTTTACAAAGTTTCGAAGATAAAAGTACCCTTTTCGCTACATGATGTAAAAAACATTTTTGAAAGAAACAAACTCAGGACTGCCAAAGTAAAAGACGTACACTTTGAAATGAGACGAAGTAGACCGTTGTATGATTTCTTTTTACAAAATCATAACAGTTCAAAAGATCAACAAGATTGTTCATCTTTTTTTTGGTTCAATTACGTTCTTCGCGATAATTAACCGAAGGTTTGTGTGACGATTTTTAAGTGCGGTATGTATAACGAGTATGTATCTTCCCGATGCATCAAGAATTGTTTCTCGCTGTACACGAGAAAAAAGAGCCGCATAAAATTAATATTATTGTTTCAAGCGCGAAGAACAACAGAAAGACGAGCATTTTGAAGAAACGAGAAACTTCCTAAGATGCTTATCGTAATAACGAATTGCTCTGTTCGTGCATCAATCAAGTCCTGTTCCCATATATCACGTATAATTCCAATTCGAACGAAACAATGGCGAAGCAATCGGGAATAATCCGCTAGAAAATATAACGACGAAGGGAAGATGATTTGGTTGGCCAGTTTAGAAATCAGCGGAGATAAAGTGCGGACGCGATTGGGTCAAAAGTCTAGATTCATTTCGCGTGAGAGTGTAGAATCACGAAGATGAATCACAGAAAGTTCGGTCTGCTTTCGGCTCTCGAGTGACGAGCATAATGCTCAATTAAGGATGATGTCACGTTTCAGAGCTCGGAATGCCACTCTTGCGTAACTTTACTTTCATTCATGGCAATGGTCACACCTTGAGGCCATTAAGCGCGCGTTGTAATGTCACGTTTGTTTCCAACTTTTTAACAGCTCAGAAATATACAGAACATGGAAAGCAAAATGATCGATTGTTCTCAAAAATAGAAGCAAAAGTAAAAGGAAATTCAAAATAAACATTTTTATAATTTTGGATAATTTAATTCATATAGATGTCTTCTATTTGTATAATTGATTAAACACTTCATACAAATAATTTTTTAACTATAATAATCCTTTGACAATAATCCTATGTTTCTAGCTTTTCAATTGATTTGGAACACGCGAGGTTCAGTAGAGGATAAAAGTAACGATTAAAATTTATTTAAACCTTCAATTGTTTATATTTTTCCCACTGTTAATCATACGTATAACAAACACACAAAAGGTTTATATAGTTAGAAACATGAATTATCCAAAATCAAGAAATTCTTAATTTAGAAATTTGTTGTTCATTTTTCGATCGAAAAGTTAATCGAGAGATAAATCAATCACTGTGCGATAAATCACTGTACATTGTACTAATAAATCAAGAAATCGCAATGGCAACGATAGCGAAAGATTACAACAAAGACCGTAAACGCGTAACAAGACCTCGAATAATTCGATCGAATAATTCGATCTAGGTCGGCCGCACACGAGAGAAACGGAAAGTGAGATTTCCCATCTGCTTGCGAAGCCGAAGTTTATTTTCCTTAGTGAAGTACTATTGACCAAATCTTCAGGAAACCGAACGGAGCTCACGTTGTTCGCGCAACTTCTGTTTGCTTGCTAATTTCCAACGGAACATATCTGTTGACTAAACTTCTGAAAAATATCCTGCTCCAAGATTTTCTCACAAATCTTCGTCTCGACCTCGTGAACCATATCAAGCCAACGCGAGCTGCTGGTCAAAAGTCGGGAAAAAAAGGATAAATTTTTCGAAATTACGCGTCTTTGAAGACGTACGTTACGCATGCAAAGCAAATGTTCCAGTATAGCTTAAATAGCTTTTGACGAGCAATGATTGAAAGCACATTTCACGCACGTCGAAAGTCGAAGGGCACTCCCGATACAGTAGCTGGCTGGCGCTATGCTATCTTAAAATAGGTTGTATGAGCATACAAGAAGAACATCGTTTGTATCAAGGACTGGAAACTTCGGAAATCTTTCGCGAATTACCTTGTGCTCCGTTCGCTTCCGCCGTCATAAGTGCATTAGACGTATTAATAGAAGCGCGATAAATTGTCGGCTTCTATTTAAATCGCGTTGGCAGATTGCTTTTCATACGATCGTGAAATAAATCGATAAATCAAAAAATTGATATATATATATATATATATATATGTATGTATGTATGTATGTAGTATATGCACGCTATCATGCATAAGTATTTGGACAGTTCTAATAAATTGTTGCAAATATAATAAGATTTAATTCAAATTAATCTCTGTAATTTAATTTAATTTCGTTGAGATATTAGAAAAATTGAAATATCTTTTTAGTTACATTCAAGAAGTGTGAAGCATGCTTATGAAGTGTATTCATTAAATTATGATTATGAAATTGAGCGATATGTATTCCTTATTTCAAATTTAAATCTGATCTCAGTTAAAAGTAAAATGTAGAAAATTAACAATACAGGAATCGATCGTTCAAACAAACCAAAAATATCAATCTTTCATAATGGAATTCCAATTATTTATGCACAGTAGTGTAAACATCTTTTTAACACGCGCCAACGCGCTTCGATATCATTTATCTGAGATATAATTCAATTAACCCGTTGTATCTGTGGATCACGGCCAATATGAAAGGATGCGATAGAAAATTAATTTCACTAAGTCCAAAGTAAAAGATACGTCTACAGCGATTTGAAAATATAAAAAATGCGAACTGTTATTACACGTTCAATATCAGGAATTCTCGCAAGTAAATTGTTGATTTACATATTAAGTAGATAACAAGCGATCATTGCAATTCATTAAACTTGGAATTCATTTAATTTGTAAACACTGTAAACACTGTTGTTCGAAACTTACCAGAATCAGATGCAGCAGGTGGCCGTGGAAGACATTCCGGTTTTGTGCATCTTCGTCCAAGAGGACTATCCGTAACAGTTTCGGGTCTAAAAATCGCTCTGAATCTTGATAAACACGGAAAAAACTTGTCCATCTTTCTTTGATCCAGTACAACAATAAATAATCCAGTGCAATAATAGCTTATTTAATTACTGCGTTTCGTTTCGCTTGCATCTGCTGTTTCAAATTAAATAAGGCTCTATTTCCCATCGGCATACTTTCAGTGACATTTTCGTGTCATTCAACTTCAATCGTTCTACGAGACATCTCACGTTGATTTATTTTGACGAGACATAATTACCAGCAAGAAGACATTTGATTCAATTGATCAATTAACTAAAGGAAAGCTTGAATCTTACGGTATCGATCACTTGATCAAAAGCTCTGCTCTTAGTTCACCTATTGAGTCACTGTCACGAAAAAGTTAATTTTATTTTTTACATAAAAACTGATGAGTTTAGAACAATTTCCAATAAGTTGTATTTTAATAATTCGAGAACGCAGAAAATGTATTGAAATCTGTGTTATGGGAATAACAATTTATCAGATAAATTTAACATGGAGACAATTTTCAAATATTTACAGTTTCAGATAATTTGAGAAAAAAATATTGAAAATTAAACAAAAACTGGATGACTTCACGCCACGATTTAGATTCCAACGCAGACTAATATAGACGACGCGCTCTGTCGATCTGCTCGCGAGTAAATGAGCGACTGTCAAGAGAATCAGCTAGCATTGAGAATAATGCAGACGATAAAATCTCTTCGCAACTTTCGATATCAATTTTTAGGTGATAGGAAATGCTGATAATTCTTACGTACTTTCACCTGGCTATCACACTATTTACCTTCTTTCTTTAGTAAATGTTTCTAAATAATACTTTCTTCATTAATGAAGATATAAAGCATAATTTCAAAGATATAATTCATTATCATTTATGGCAGTTTGTAATTATTTTGCTCTTACAGAATTCTTACAGGAAGAAATGAAGTCATACAAATAGAATTTCATCAAATTTCTTGGACGCAGCATCTATTTAAAGACTATTATCTTTAAAGGAAAATATTGCGACTAATATATTTTTAAAGAACTTATTATAATATGTATAAAAATATTTCATTGCATAATTATTATATAACGACTTACATAAGAAAATATAAAACTTCTCTCCAAGTAACACTATTTTTATTTTACACAAATTTTACAGAATATCACATAATGTAAATCTGTATAAAATAATCGAATAATTTTTATGTTATAAGCATCCCATCGTCATCACTTTGCTCTTCTAAAATTATAATTTCATTCGTACCATGCACATACACATGTAAAAATTTATATACGTAATTGCCAGATTCATCCTGTAAATGCATTTTTAATTAATTACAAATTAAATACCTAAAAAATATCAAAATACTATGCTTTACTTCTTGCATTTCTAACTTCACAGTTGCACTTCCTATTGGACTCATAACATCAAATTCATTTCTAACATGTTGTACTCCATTCACTTCAAAGGTCGCATATCTAAAATATTTTATAAAATTATGTAATATACATGTAAAATTATGTATTGTTTCTAATGACAAAATAATTATAAAAGAAAATAGCAATAAACGCATAATAACTTTACTTTTTAAGATGAGCCTGCGGATTGAACAATATTTTCAATGTTGATGACTTTAATACTATTGGTCTTCCAAGGGCACGTATTACTTTAGGATTTTTGTTACAGTAATCTATTGTATTGAATATTGTATTCATGTCACTTTTATCGGTAAAAACTTCATAAACTCCAAAACATAAGGTAATAAGACAAGAAATAACGGCAAGAGCTATAGGCACTGGATCAACTGCAATAAATACAATCTTCAGACTGATACATATATATGAAAAATATCAATTTTTAAAAACCTCAAGAGTATACTAGTATTGCGTTCATTTTGATTTCCAAGCTTGGGGAAGTTTTCAGTAACTGATTTCTCTGTAGAATACCATGTATTTTGTTGAAAACTAGGAAGAATACATCTGTTTCTTAGACTAGATACCATCATTAGCCTTTTGTATGAAATGCAATTGATTGCTCGTACTAATGCCATCCTCTGAAATAATGATAAATATTATTTACATAAATAAACAATAATAAGACTATTGAGCTACTTTACTAATATAGATTAATTCCATATTAAAAATTCTATTAATCAAAATAAATACAAGATCCAGATATTTAAACAAATATATTCATAAAAAGATGACTTATATAATATATATCGTTATAATAATACCTCTAAAATTATTACAATGTGCAAAATTGTTCTATTAAAGTTCAAAATTTTCTTTTAACAACTTATCATCTATTTTTTTCTGTTTTAGAAAGATTAAATACGTGTTAATAGTACTTACGAATAAATATTAACACTACTTTTAAAAAAATGCTTAATTTAAATATTTTCGTAATCGACAATTATATCTAGTTACTTCGTCGTCTACGAGAAACGAGACAGGTTATGAAGTTGAAAAGTCGAAACAACATAACCTATCTTACGAGGACCAAGTAGTGCGATTATCCACAAAATTGGAATTGTAAGAATAGCTTGTAAAATTTCAACAATATAACAGTAAATAAAATTAAACCTCTTAATGAAGACTGCTCCACACCAAAAGCTAGTTATGGTTGGAGATCGCGACGGGTAAATATCTATTGTGCCTGAAATTTTGTACTCTATTCTTTATTATATTCTCTGACTAAAATATTAACTTTGAGCTGTATATACTTCTCATATATCATTTTCTTATTACTTGTAACAATGTTTTGATGAAATCAATAAGTAACTTTACTTTCAGGCTGAAAGAATTGCTACGTCGTCGATTAATTGAATGTGGATGGAGAGATCAAGTAAAATTAATCTGCAAGGAATTAATAAAAGAACATGGTGTTGATATTACATATGATAAATTGCTTTCGATGGTTACAACTAAAGCAAGAACACTTGTTCCAGATTCCGTTAAGAAAGAACTCTTACAGAAAATAAAAAATCAACTTATTGCTCAAGAAGAAAAACTAAAAATGTAATAGTAAAAAATATTAATTCATCAACTTCTATCAATTTTGTTCGCTGAGATGTATAAATACAAATGTACAAATATAATTATATTGTTTTAATATACATTATGTATTATATATACACTGTCATATATCACAATTTTAGATTTAAGTTTGTATTCAAGTATATGATTTTTTAATTGAAATTATAGATTTAATTTCATCATATATAAACCTTGTGTATACCTCATATAATTGCATCTAATATACACTGCTTCTTCGCACCTCATTTAAGAATTGCTATTCTATTTTTGTTTATATTTTTCATATGACATTATCAGTTTAATATAGTAATAGTTTAAATTAGAACTTTCTTTTTGTGAAATAACAAAAAGAATACAGAGTAGGATATTTAAAATTAATTTTAAATTTAAACTTTATATAACTTACAGTACAATTTACTTGAAGACCAATGTTAGAATACACATACATATATATTAATTTTACAACTTTTTTCACAAAGTTCATATATTAGATCCATCTTAACCACAGTTTATTTAATTTTCTACAAAAATTGATTAGAAAGAGATACCAGATGAAACTCATCAAAAGAATTAACCTGTAAGTCATAGATTAACTACAGTTTATAAAAATATAATTCCAGATTTTTAAACATAACATATTGGATATATATAAAGAGTTGA